AGAGACGCATTGTATCTCTTACCTTCCTTGCATAGAGGAAAAAAAAAAGTTTGTAAAAAAAAAAAAAAAGATAAAAAAAAATAGAGAATAAAAGAAAAAATTAAAAAAAAAACTAGATCAAGGTTTGATCTAGTTCAGTGCCAGGGTTAGTGTTTGGGTCAAGGTCAGGGTCAAAGGAAAAGGTCAAAGGTCAGGATTTTATTTTTTTTAAATTGGTATCAGTGTCAGTTAGTGTCAGTGTGTGTTTTTAGGAAAAAAAATGCGCACTCTTGTTTCTGGGCCGTACTCCGGGTACAACAAATAACCTCCACATATATATGGTATCGCTGCGATCGTAAAGAGCTGGAGAATTTATTTTGGGTTGTTCTTCTTTGGTAGTATGTTACGGTAGTAGCAAGAAACACAGAGAAATTTAAAAAAAAATATTTATTTTTACTATTTTGGCCCAGTTTTCCTTTGATAATAAAAAATTCAGGAGCTATCCATTCCCATTTACCACCAAATGAACGCCCAATTGGTCCTGAAAAAAGACGCAGTATAATCCACCCGGATGTAGGAAGTAGTTGTGATGATACGGACAGTTTTACTAACACGGGTCAAAGTGGCAAAATTGTGCTTAGGCGTTAAGATTTGTTTTACCCTCAGGCATGAAAGGGTTAAATAATATCAGCAGATTGCGCATAACCACTGTGCATCAATGGTGCCTATTGGGAGGGAAGCACTGGTTGTGGGACGAGAGACTTACGAAGGCAGCCAGCTCCCTTGTGACCCACTGGTACAATGCAATGGGAACACATGAATGCCTTTCTAGAAATGTTGGTATTGAGGGGGCCCCTTTAAATACAATGAGCACTTGTGGATATGGAATAGTCCTTCCAAAGGTTGGGGATAGTATCCTCTGCTAGCAGATTGGGGCCCTTTAAAGGTGAAGAGTAAAGAAGAATGGCAGACAGAACTGAGAGGACAACAAAGCAAGGATTCTCTGATAGATTCGAATCATCCAATGTCGGCTAGCAGTGTCTTTGTGCAGCCTTGTAAAAGGTAGGTAGGCAGCTGCCCTCTGACCAATCCTGGTATAGATGTCATCTCTGGCACTGCAGGGGGCGCTGTGCAGGTCCTGGGGTCTCCGCTGAGAGAAGGCGATGGGCACACACAGCCTGCTGTAGTGGATGAGGAGAGAGGAGCTGTGAAGAGTGCTGGATGATGGTGAGTGGCCGTGGACTCCCGACGTGGAGATCTGTGACACAGCTATGCAGATACAGTGGATGATCCTCACTATCCTGGACTGTGGAACGGCAGCCTCCATCCATCCTGTCTGAGCCCCCCCGGGCCGAGAGAGAGAGCCAGAAGCAGCCAAATATATCATCTCCCCATCATCCTGCGCTGGATCAGCTTTCTGGGATTTGTAGTTCCGGAGGAGCTAAAAAATAGAGAGAGAGAGAGAGAGGTCCTGTCCATGGGAAAGCTGTCGCTGAACCCAGACCAGAATACAGAGATTACTAGGCAAGTGCTCCTATCTTTAATAGTTTAATATTGTTGCCTATAGCTTCTGGGTGTACAGATACAGTTGTGTTCAAATTAATATCAGTGTGTTGACAAAAGTGAATAAAGCTGAAAATCCTTCTAATAGCTTTTATTTCCATCCACACAAATGCATTGGGAACACGACACATTCTATTCCAAATCACAACATGTACTGCAGACTCATCAGACCAGAACATTTTTCCAATCTTTTGTTGTCCAATTTTGGTGATCCTGTGTGAGTTGCAGCCTCTGTTTCCTGTTCTTAGCTGACAGGAGTGGCACCCGGTGTGGTCTTCTGCTGCTGTAGCCCATCTGCTTCAAGGATGGATGTGTTGTGCGTTCAGTGATGGTATTCTGTATACTTTGGCTGTAACGACGGGGTTATTGGAGTTACTGTTGCCTTTCTATCATCTCCAACCAGTCTGCCCATTCTCCTCTGACCTCTGACCTCAACAAGGCATTTTCCTCCACACAACTGCTGCTCACTGGATATTTTCTCTTTTTCGGACCATTCTCTGTAAACCCCAGAGATGGTTGTGCGGGAAAATCCCAGATCAGCAGTTTTTGAAATACTCACACCAGCCTATCTGGCAACAACAACCATGTCACGTTCAGAGTCACTTAAATCCCTTGTAAGCTCCCAGGATCAGGGCCTCCCTCTTAGATTGTAAGCTCCCAGGATCAGGGCCTCCCTCTTAGATTGTAAGCTCCCAGGATCAGGGCCTCCCTCTTAGATTGTAAGCTCCCAGGATCAGGCCCTCCCTCTTAGATTGTAAGCTCCCAGGATCAGCCCCTCCCTCTTAGATTGTAAGCTCCCAGGATCAGGGCCCTCCCTCTTAGATTGTAAGCTCCCAGGATCAGGCCCTCCCTCTTAGATTGTAAGCTCCCAGGATCAGCCCCTCCCTCTTAGATTGTAAGCTCCCAGGATCAGGCCCTCCCTCTTAGATTGTAAGCTCCCAGGATCAGGCCCTCCCTCTTAGATTGTAAGCTCCCAGGATCAGCCCCTCCCTCTTAGATTGTAAGCTCCCAGGATCAGCCCCTCCCTCTTAGATTGTAAGCTCCCAGGATCAGCCCCTCCCTCTTAGATTGTAAGCTCCCAGGATCAGCCCCTCCCTCTTAGATTGTAAGCTCCCAGGATCAGGACCTCCTATCCCTCTTGTATTGATCTGTATTGTTGCTGTATTGTCTCCCGTTGTATTGTACAGCGCTGAGGACACTGTTGGCGCCATAAATCCTGTATAATAATAATAAATCCCCTTTCTGATGCTCGGTTTGAACTTCCGCAAGTCATCTTCACCACGTCTAGATGCCTAAATGCATTGATTTGCTGCCATGTGATTGGCTGATTAGCAATTTGTGCTACCAAGCCATTGAACAGGCGGACCCAATAAAGTGGCCGGTGAGTGTAATCTTCCAGTTTCAGAAAACAAATCTGACCAAACCATTCCCCGTCTACCACTCTGAAAAACTCTCAAGTTACTTGGATTTAAACCTAAGATAGTGGAAGATACCCTTCTGGGGGCCGCTTATGTGCCCAGTAGACGAAGGAAGGGCCGATAATCCTGATTACACTTGTACCACCTACAATGAATCAAATAGACGTGTTAGGACGTATGTATGATCTCCAACAATTGGATTTACATCTTCCGGATTTTTATCTTCCAAACCTAGTCGAGATCCTTCAGTGGACGCCCTAAAGGAATGTGGAGATAATTGAGGTTCAACTTCAATTTTTTATTACATTTTAAAAGACTCTAATAAACTGAAATCTGGTAAGTGGGGAACCATTTCCATGACTAAAAGGCAGATCTCTGCGATCCGGTCTGTTTTTTAGGTTTTTAGTCTTTTCTAAGCTGCACAGGACAAATAGGGGAACGAGGGAAGACGTGTAACGTAACCCAGGTACCCTTTCCTAACTGATCTGCTTCTGATTTTCCTGTAGTTTAATGGCCTGCTCTCCAGTGACGGGTCCTTTCACTCGTATGCCGGAGTCATCCTTTTTGTTGGAAGAGACTATTTCTGAAATCCTTAAAGCAGCAAAAAAGGGCAACTGAAAAAAAAAATCCCGAAGCAAAACTGCTTCAAAATCAGAAAAAACAACCGAGTTTGTAATTGTGAACAGCTGAGGGGTAACAGCTTGTCCAGAATCAGTATGAGAATTACTTTTTCTATGACCTTCGAGAGCCGAACAATAAAAAGGCTAAAACAAGAAGGCGGAGTGTATAATCTTAGAAGAAAAAAAAAGGAAACCCCGGAACGGATTTTGTAAATGTTAGCCCATGAATATTTGTTACTCAAGAGGGAATTTCAAAATAACAAATACTAAACCCTCAGAAAAAGAATTCCAAAAATGATATCCGGAGAAACCAGGCGGACCGATATTCCACCCATGTTGAAGGAGCCAATGACTGCTTTGTGTTTTCAGTGACCGGGTTCAAATGAGGTCCTACAAGTGGGAAGGACAAACCGTGCCTGTTGGGTCTGCTTCTGGGAATAGATGGAGGAAATGTGTCATCTGGAACCGAGACAAAGAATCTGCCAAAACATAACTTTTACCAGGAATATGTTTGGCTTTTAGCCATAAATTCAGTGGAAGACATTTGTAGACCAGATATGGGCACAAAACAATGACTGGCGGAGACTTTGATGAGAGACACTTAGCGGCGTATAATGCTCCTTTGTTGTCCGTACGTAGGAGTATACACCGATTACTGAAGCTTTTCCCCATAACTCAATAGCCACTTTGATGGGAAAAAGTTCCAGAAGCACAATATTTCTCAGAAGCCTTTAGAGCCAAGGCTCGGCTCACCAGCGTGTTCAAAATGGCTGAAAAAAAACAAAAGGATCCCGCAGCATCGGTGAAAAGGCAAAAATTCCCATCTGAAATGAACTTCTGCTGCCAAACTGCCCGGCCATTAAAATGATCTAGAAATTGGTACCAAACTTACATATCTACCCGCCTGTCATGGGTGACCCGCACATAAGAAGACGGACATTTTTACCACTTCAGTGACCCCTTCCTGCCCAGGACAATTTTCAGCTTTCAGCGCGCTCACATTTTTAATGGCAATTGCGCGGTCCTGCGACGCTGTACCCAAATTACTTTTTTTTTTTTCATTTTGTTCACACAACTAGAGCTTTCTTTTGGAGGGGTTTAATCACCACTGGGAGTTTTATTTTTGCTAAATTAACAAAAAAGGACCAAAAGGTTTGGAGGAAAAAAAACACGTTTTTCTTTGTTTCTGTTATAAAAGTTAGCAAAATAAATAATTGTTCTTCATAAATTTAAGCCGAGATGTATTCTGCTCCATGTCTTTGGTGAAAATAACCCAAATCAGTGTTTATTATTTAGTCTGTAGGAAAGTTATAGAGTTCACAAACTATGGGATATATCTGAAAATCGATCAATCCTGAAGTACTGACAGCCAATCTAAATCTCTTGAGGCTGAAAAATGTCAGAACAATACAGATATCCCCCCAAATGTCAGAGCAGGACAGATATCCCCCCAAATGTCAGGACGGTACAAATCCCCCCAAATGTCAGGACAGGACAGATATCCCCCAAATGTCAGGAGAGTACAAATCCCCCCAAATGTCAGGACGGTACAAATACCCCCAAATGTCAGGATGGTACAAATCCCCCCAAATGTCAGGAGAGTACAAATCCCCCCAAATGTCAGGACTGTACAAATCCCCCAAAAATTCAGGAGAGTACAAATCCCCCCCCCCCAAATGTCAGGACAGTACAAATCCCCCCAGATGTCAGGATAGTACAAAATCCTCCCCCCAAATGTCAGGACAGTGCAAATCCCCCCAGATGTCAGGACAGTACAAATCCTCCCCCCAAATGTCAGGACAGTGCAAATCCCCCCAGATGTCAGGACAGTACAAATCCTCCCCCCAAATGTCAGGACAGTGCAAATCCCCCCAAATGTCAGAACGGTACAAATACCCCCAAATGTCAGGATGGTACAAATCCCCCCAAATGTCAGGACGGTACAAATCTCCCCAAATGTCAGGACAGTACAAATCCCCCCAAATGTCAGGACAGTACAAATCCCCCCAAATGTCAGGAGAGTACAAATCCCCCCAAATGTCAGGACGGTACAAATACCCCCAAATGTCAGGAGAGTACAAATCCCCCCAAATGTCAGGATGAGTACAAATCCCCCCAAATGTCAGGACTGTACAAATCCCCCCAAATGTCAGGAGAGTACAAATCCCCCCCCCAAATGTCAGGAGAGTACAAATCCCCCCAAATGTCAGGACGGTACAATCCCCCCAGATGTCATGGACAGGACAGTACAAATCCCTCCCCCCAAATGTCAGGACAGTACAAATCCCCCCCAAATGTGAGGACAGTACAAATCCCCCCAAATGTCAGGATGGTACAAATCCCCCCCCCAAATGTCAGGACAGTACAAATCCCCCCAAATGTCAGGACAGTACAAATCCCCCCAAATGTCAGGACGGTACAAATCCCCCCAAATGTCAGGACAGTACAAATCCCCCCAAATGTCAGGACAGTACAAATCCCCCCAAATGTCAGGACAGTACAAATCCCCCCAAATGTCAGGACGGTACAAATACCCCCCAAATGTCAGGACAGTACAAATCCCCCCCAAATGTCAGGACGGTACAAATCCCCCGAAATGTCAGGACAGTACAAATCCCCCCAAATGTCAGGACGGTACAAATTCCCCCCAAATGTCAGGACAGTACAAATCCCCCCAAATGTCAGGACAGTACAAATCCCCCCAAATGTCAGGACAGTACAAATCCCCCGAAATGTCAGGACAGTACAAATCCCCCCAAATGTCAGGACTGTACAAATCCCCCCAAATGTCAGGACAGTACAAATCCCCCCAAATGTCAGGACAGTACAAATCCCCCCAAATGTCAGGATGGTACAAATACCCCCCAAATGTCAGGACGATACAAATCCCCCCAAATGTCAGGATGGTACAAATACCCCCCACAAATCCCCCCAAATGTCAGGACTAGAGATGAGCGAATCGAACCAGGCGAACCGGAATTCGAGTCGAATTTCAGGAAATATTCGATTCGCGTCGAATCCGAAATTTTGCCTACTTCGTACACTTTTTGCCGGTTTGGAATTCTTATTTTCATCCTACTTCTTCTTCTTCTTCTACTTCTTCATCCTCATCCTCATCCTCAGAAGAAGAAGAAGAAGAGGATGAGGATGAAGAAGAAGAAGAAGAAGAAGAAGAAGTAGTAGGAAAATAAGAATAATTCCAAGCCGGCAAAAAGTGTATCTGCAGCGCTCATCTAAGTGTATCTGCAGAATGTCATTTATGGAAACAAATAGATACAATGTTTCAACCGCTGTATGGAGTGAATGTCCCAGAACTGTCAGAAATAGACAGAAACTGTCACAGAACTGTCCTTCTTCTCATCCTTCTCCTTCTTCTCTTCTTCTCATCCTTCTTCTCATCCTTCTCCTTCTTCTCATCCTTCTCCTTCTTCTCATCCTTCTTCTCATCCTTCTCCTTCTTCTCATCCTTCTCCTTCTTCTCATCCTTCTCCTTCTCCTTCTTCTCATCTTCTCCTTCTCCATCTTCTCATCCTTTCTTCTCCTTTTCCTTCTTCTCATCCTTCTCCTTCTGCTTCTCCTTCCTTCTCATCCTTCTCCTTCTTCTCATCCTTCTCCTCTTCTCATCCTTCTCATCCTTCTCCTTCTTCTCATCCTTCTCCTTCTTCTCATCCTTCTCCTTTCTTCTCATCCTTCTCCTTCTTCTCATCCTTCTCCTTCTCCTCATCCTTCTCCTTCTTCTCATCCTTCTCCTTCTCCTTCTTCTCTTCTCATCCTTCTCCTTCTTCTCATCCTCTCCTTCTCCATCTTCTCATCCTTCTCCATCTTCTCATCCTTCTCCTTCTGCTTCTCCTTCTCCTTCTCCTTCTTCTCATCCTTCTCCTTCTTCTCTCCTTCTTCCTTCTTCTCATCCTTCTCCTTCTTCTCATCCTTCTTCTCTCTTCTTCTCCTTCTCTCTTCTCATCCTTCTCCTTCTTTTCATCCTTCTCCTTCTTCTTCTCCTTCCTTCTCCTTCTTCTCATCCTTCTCCTTCTTCTCTTCTCCTTCTCCTTCTTCTCATCCTTCTCCTTTTCCTTCTCATCTCATCCTTCTCCTTCTTCTTCTCCTTCTCCTTCTTCTCATCCTTCTCCTTCTTCTCATCCTTCTCCTTCTTCTCATCCTTCTCCTTCTTCTCATCCTTCTCCTTCTCCTCTTCTCTTCCTTTTCCTTCTCCTCATCCTTCTCCTTCTCCTTCTTCTCATCCTTCTCCTTCTCCTTCTTCTCATCCTTCTCCTTCTCCTTCTTCTCATCCTTCTCCTTCTCCATCTTCTCATCCTTCTCCTTCTTCTCATCCTTCTCCTTCTGCTTCTCCTTCTCCTTCTCCTTCTTCTCATCCTTCTCCTTCTTCTCATCCTTCTCCTTCTTCTCATCCTTCTCCTTCTCCTTCTCCTTCTCCTCATCCTTCTCCTTCTCCTTCTTCTCATCCTTCTCCTTCTCCTTCTTCTCATCCTTCTCCTTCTTCTCATCCTTCTCCTTCTTCTCCTTCTTCTTCTCATCCTTCTCCTTCTCCTTCTTCTCATCCTTCTCCTTCTCCTTCTTCTCATCCTTCTCCTTCTTCTCATCCTTCTCCTTCTCATCCTTCTCCTTCTCCTTCTTCTCATCCTTCTCCTTCTTCTCATCCTTCTCCTTCTTCTCATCCTTCTCCTTCTCCTTCTCCTTCTTCTCATCCTTCTCCTTCTTCTCATCCTTCTCCTTCTCTTTCCTCATCTCCAAGGGCATTTAAATTAAAGGTACAGTGTTCTGCACTAATTTAAAGGCTCTCTGAAGCCTAGAAACCCTTTTAATAAGTTAACTTCGTAGCGAAGAAATTCACATCGAATCGAATTTCACACTGGAATTCGCCGAATCAGCCGAATCGAATTTTTGAGAAATTCGCTCATCTCTAGTCAGGACGGTACAATCCCCCCCAAATGTCAGGATGGTACAAATCCCCCCCAAATGTCAGGATAGTACAAATCCCCCCAAATGTCAGGACAGTACAAATCCCCCTAAATGTCCCAAATGTCAGGACAGTACAAATCCCCCCAAATGTCAGGACAGTACAAATCCCCCCAAATGTCAGGACGGTACAAATCCCCCCAAATGTCAGGACAGTACAAATCAATACAAATGTCAGGACGGTACAAATCCCCCCAAATTTCAGGACTGTACAAATCCCCCCAAATGTCAGGACAGTACAAATCCCCCCAAATGTCAGGATAGTACAAATCCCCCCAAATGTCAGGATAGTACAAATCCCCCCAAATGTCAGGACAGTACAAATCCCCCCAAATGTCAGGACGGTACCATACCCCCCAAATATCAGGATGGTACAAATCCCTCCAAATGTCAGGATAGTACAAATCCCCCCCAAATGTCAGGATAGTACAAATCCCCCCAAATGTCAGGACAGTACAAATCCCCCCAAATGTCAGGACAGTATAAATCCCCCCCAAATGTCAGGACGGGGACAAATCCCCCCAAATGTCAGGACGGTACCATACCCCCCAAATATCAGGATGGTACAAATCCCCCCAAATGTCAGGATAGTACAAATCCCCCCCAAAAAGTCAGGATAGTACAAATCCCCCCAAATGTCATGACAGTACAAATCCCCCCAAATGTCAGGACAGTACAGATATCCCCCAAATGTCAGGACAGTACAGATATCCCCCAAATGTAAGGATAGTACAAATCCCCCCAATGTCAGGACAGTACAAATCCCCCCAAATGTCTCAAATGTCAGGACAGTACAAATCCCCCCAAATGTCAGGACGGTACAAATACCCCCCAAATGTCAGGACAGTACAAATCCCCCCAAATGTCAGGACAGTACAAATCCCCCCAAATGTCAGGACGGTACAAATCTCCCCAAATGTCAGGACAGTACAAATCCCCCCAAATGTCAGGACAGTACAAATCCCCCCAAATGTGAGGATGGTACAAATCCCCCCCCAAATGTCAGGACAGTACAAATCCCCCCAAATTTCAGGACGGTACAAATCCCCCCAAATGTCAGGACGGTACAAATCCTCCCAAATGTCAGGATGGTACAATCCCCCCCAAATGTCAGTACGGTAAAAATCCCCCCAAATGTCAGGACAGTACAAATCCCCCCAAATGTCAGGACTAGAGATGAGCGAATCGAACCAGGCGAACCGGAATTCGAGTCGAATTTCAGGAAATATTCGATTCGCGTCGAATCCGAAATTTTGCCTACTTCGGGTGCGCGAATCGAACATTTCCCGATCAGCCGGCAAAAGTGTCCCTGCAGTGAGTTCCGCTATTTCTGACAGTTCTCTGACAGAAGGAACACATGTAAAGCGGTTGAAACATTGTATCTATTAGTTTCCATTTAGGATACAGATGTTTCAACCGCTGTACATGTGAAGGAGCTGTCAGAGAACTGTCAGAAATAGAGGAACTCTGCACATACACTTTTTGCCGGTTTGGAATTCTTATTTTCATCCTACTTCTTCTTCTTCTTCTACTTCTTCATCCTCATCCTCATCCTCAGAAGAAGAAGAAGAGGATGAGGATGAAGAAGAAGAAGAAGAAGAAGAAGAAGTAGTAGGAAAATAAGAATAATTCCAAGCCGGCAAAAAGTGTATCTGCAGCGCTCATCTAAGTGTATCTGCAGAATGTCATTTATGGAAACAAATAGATACAATGTTTCAACCGCTGTATGGAGTGAATGTCCCAGAACTGTCAGAAATAGACAGAAACTGTCACAGAACTGTCCTTCTTCTCATCCTTCTCCTTCTTCTCATCCTTCTTCTTCTCATCCTTCTCCTTCTTCTCATCCTTCTCCTTCTTCTCATCCTTCTTCTCATCCTTCTCCTTCTTCTCATCCTTCTCCTTCTTCTCATCCTTCTCCTTCTCCTTCTTCTCATCCTTCTCCTTCTCCATCTTCTCATCCTTCTCCTTTTCCTTCTTCTCATCCTTCTCCTTCTGCTTTCTCTTCTCCATCTCTTCTTCTTCTCATCCTTCTCCTTCTTCTCATCCTTCTCCTTCTTCTCATCCTTCTCCTTCTTCCTTCTTCTCATCCTTCTCCTTCTTCTCATCCTTCTTCCTTCTCTTCTTCATCCTTCTCCTTCTTCTCATCTTCTTCTCCTTCTCCTTCTTCTCATCCTTTCCTTCTCCTTCTTTCTCATCCTTCTCCTTCTCCTTCTTCTCATCCTTCTCCTTCTCCATCTTCATCCTTCTCCTTCTCCTCTCTCCTTCTCCTTCTTCTTCATCCTTCTCCTTCTTCTCATCCTTCTCCTTCTTCTCATCCTTCTCCTTCTTCTCATCCTTCTTCCTTCTCCTTCTTCTCATCCTTCTCCTTCTTCTCATCCTTCTCTTCTTCTCCTCATCCTTCATCCTTCTCCTTCTTCTCATCCTTCTCCTTTCTTCTCATCCTTCTCCTTCTCCTTCTTCTCATCCTTCTCCTTCTGCTTCTCCTTCTCCTTCTTCTCATCCTTCTCCTTCTTCCATCCTTCTCCTTCTTTCATCCTTTCTCCTTCTTCTCATCCTTCTCCTTCTCTCCTTCTTCTCTTCCTTCTCCTTCTCCTTCTTCTCATCCTTCTCCTTCTCCTTCTTCTCATCCTTCTCCTTCTTCTCATTCTTCTCCTTCTCCTTCTCCTTCTTCCTCCTTCTCCTTCTCATCCTTCTCCTTCTCCTTCTCCCTTTCATCCTTCTCCTCTTCTCCTTCTCCTTCTTCTCATCCTTCTCCTTCTCCTTCTTCCTTTCTCATCCTTCTCCTTCTCCTTCTTCTCATCCTTCTCCTTCTCCTTCTCTCTCCTTCTCCTTCTTCTCATCCTTCTCCTTCTCCTTCTCTTCTCCCTTCTCCTTCTTCTCATTCTTCTCATCCTTCTCTTTCCTTCTTCTCATCCTTCTCCTTCTTCTTCATCCTTCTCCTCTCATCCTTCTCCTTCTCCTTCTTCTCATCCTTCTCCTTCTTCTCATCCTTCTCCTTCTTCTCATCCTTCTCCTTCTCCTTCTTCTTCCTTCTCTTCTTCTTCTCATCCTTCTCCTTCTCTTTCCTCATCTCCAAGGGCATTTAAATTAAAGGTACAGTGTTCTGCACTAATTTAAAGGCTCTCTGAAGCCTAGAAACCCTTTTAATAAGTTAACTTCGTAGCGAAGAAATTCACATCGAATCGAATTTCACACTGGAATTCGCCGAATCAGCCGAATCGAATTTTTGAGAAATTCGCTCATCTCTAGTCAGGACGGTACAATCCCCCCCAAATGTCAGGATGGTACAAATCCCCCCCAAATGTCAGGATAGTACAAATCTCCCCCCAAATGTCAGGACAGTACAAATCCCCCTAAATGTCCCAAATGTCAGGACAGTACAAATCCCCCAAATGTCAGGACAGTACAAATCCCCCCAAATGTCAGGACGGTACAAATCCCCCCAAATTCAGGACAGTACAAATCAATACAAATGTCAGGACGGTACAAATCCCCCCAAATTTTTCAGGACTGTACAAATCCCCCAAATGTCAGGACAGTACAATCCCCCCCAAATGTCAGGATAGTACAAATCCCCCCAAATGTCAGGATAGTACAAATCCCCCCAAATGTCAGGACAGTACAAATCCCCCCAAATGTCAGGACGGTACCATACCCCCCAAATATCAGGATGGTACAAATCCCTCCAAATGTCAGGATAGTACAAATCCCCCCAAATGTCAGGATAGTACAAATCCCCCAAATGTCAGGACAGTACAAATCCCCCCCAAATGTCAGGACAGTACAAATCCCCCAAATGTCAGGACAGTACAAATCCCCCCCAAATGTCAGGATAGTACAAATCCCCCCAAATGTCAAAGTCAGGATAGTACAAATCCCCCCCAAATGTCAGGGATAGTACAAATCCCCCCAAATGTCATGACAGTACAAATCCCCCCAAATGTCAGGACAAGTACAGATATCCCCCAAATGTCAGGACAGTACAGATATCCCCCAAATGTAAGGATAGTACAAATCCCCCAAATGTCAGGACAGTACAAATCCCCCCAAATGTCTCAAATGTCAGGACAGTACAAATCCCCCCAAATGTCAGGACGGTACAAATACCCCCCAAATGTCAGGACAGTACAAATCCCCCAAATGTCAGGACAGTACAAATCCCCCCAAATGTCAGGACGGTACAAATCTCCCCAAATGTCAGGACAGTACAAATCCCCCCCAAATGTCAGGACAGTACAAAATCCCCCCAAATGTGAGGATGGTACAAATCCCCCCCCAAATGTCAGGACAGTACAAATCCCCCCAAATTTCAGGACGGTACAAATCCCCCCAAATGTCAGGACGGTACAAATCCTCCCAAATGTCAGGACAGGTACAATCCCCCCAAATGTCAGTACGGTAAAAATCCCCCAAATGTCAGGACAGTACAAATCCCCCCAAATGTCAGGACTAGAGATGAGCGAATCGAACCAGGCGAACCGGAATTTCGAGTCGAATTTCAGGAAATATTCGATTCGCGTCGAATCCGAAATTTTGCCTACTTCGGGTGCGCGAATCGAACATTTCCCGATCAGCCGGCAAAAGTGTCCCTGCAGTGAGTTCCGCTATTTCTGACAGTTCTCTGACAGAAGGAACACATGTGAAAGCGGTTGAAACATTGTATCTATTAGTTTCCATTTAGGATACAGATGTTTCAACCGCTGTACATGTGAAGGAGCTGTCAGAGAACTGTCAGAAATAGAGGAACTCTGCACATACACTTTTTGCCGGTTTGGAATTCTTATTTTCATCCTACTTCTTCTTCTTCTTCTACTTCTTCATCCTCATCCTCATCCTCAGAAGAAGAAGAAGAGGATGAGGATGAAGAAGAAGAAGAAAGAAGAAGAAGTAGTAGGAAAATAAGAATAATTCCAAAGCCGGCAAAAAAGTGTATCTGCAGCGCTCATCTAAGTGTATCTGCAGAATGTCATTTATGGAAACAAATAGATACAATGTTTCAACGCTGTATGGACGTGAATGTCCCAGAACTGTCAGAAATAGACAGGAAACACTGTCACAGAAACTGTCCCTTTTCCACGTAACCTTCTCCATTCTTCTCATCACTTCTTCTCATCCTTCTCCCTTCTTCTCATCTCATCTCCCGTTCTTCTCCATCCTTTCTTCTCATCCTTCTCCTTCTTCTCATCCTTCTCCTTCTTCTTCATCCTTCTCCTTCTCCTTCTTCTCATCCTTCTCCTTCTCCAATCATCTCATACGTTCTCCTTTTTCCTTCTTCTATCTTCTTCCTTCTCATTCTCCTTGTCCTTCTTCATTCATCCGTTCTCCACCTTCATTCTCAACCCCTTCTCATTACTTCTCATCACCATTCTCCTTCCTTCTCATCTTCTCCTTCTTCTTCATCTTTCTCCTTCTCCTTCATTCTCACCAACCTTTCCTTCTTCATGAAAATCCTTCCCCTTCTCCTCATCCTTCTCCAAGAAGAAGAATTCTCAATCCTAACCTTCTCCTTCTTCTCACCTTCTCACTTCTCCTGAGAATCTTCTGTCACCTACTCCTTCCTTCCAATCTTCTCAGCCCCAAGACTATCTCCTTCTCCTTCTACCCTCAATCCTTCTCCGATGAAAAGAAGAATGTAACTTGAAGTCTCCTTAGAAGAATCCTTCTAAGACTCAATGAAACCTTGTCCTTCTTCAAATCCCTTCTCCTTCTTGAAATCATTAAACCCTACTCCTTCTTCTCATCCCCTTCATCTAACATCCGTTCTCTTCTTCTCATCCCCTTCCTCCTTCCTTCTCATGCAATTCTCTCCTTCTTCTCATCCTTCTCCTTCTCCTTCTTCTCATTCCTTTCTTCTCCATCTTCTCATCCTTTGTCCTTTTCTAACTTCTTCCTCTTTCATCCTTCACCTTCTGCTTCTATCTCCTTCTCCCTTCTTCTTCAGATCCTTCTCCTTTCTTCTCATCCTCTCCTTCCTTCCATCCTTCTCCATCTCTTCATCCTTCTCCTTCCTTCTCATTCCTTTTCCTTCCTCCTCATCCTTCCACCTTCTCCTTCTTCTCATCCTTCTCCTTCTCCTTCTTCGTTCATTCCTTCTCCTTCTCCTTCGTCTCTCATACCGTCTCCTTCTCCCATCATTCATCATCCTTCTCCTTCTTCTCATCCTTCTCCTTCTGCTTCTCCTTCTCCTCTTCTCATCCTTCTCCTTCTTCATCCCCTTCTCCTTCCTTCTCAACCTTCTCCTTCTCCTTCTCCCTTCTCCTCATCCTTCTCCTTCTCCTTCTTTCTAACCTTCTCCTTCTCCTTCTTCTTCATCCTTCTCATTCTTCCTCATCCCTTTCTCCTTCTCCTTCTGTCTACAATCCTTCTCCTTCTCCTTCTTCCTCATTCCTTCTCAGTGTCTCCTTCTTCTCATCCTTCTCATTCTTTCTCATCCTTCTCCTTGACTCATTCCTTCTCCTTCTCCTTCTTCTCATCCTTCTCTTCTCTCATCCTGTCTCTTCTTCTTATTCCTCTCTCTCCTTCTCCTTCTGTCCTCATCCTTCTCCTTCTTCTCATCCTTCTCCTTCTCTTTCCTCATCTCCAAGGGGCAATTTAAATTAAAGGTACAGTGTTCTGCACTCTATTTAAAGGCTCTCTGAAGCCTAAGAAACCCTTTAAATAATGTTAACTTCGTAGCGAAGTAATTCACATCGAAATCGAATTTACCATGGAAATTCGCCTCGAATCGCCGAATCGAATTTTTTAGGAAATTCGCTGCGAATCAGCTAGAATCAGGAACGGTTGAGAAATCCCCGCAAATGTCAGGATGGTACAAATCCCCCCAAATGTCAGGATAGTACAAATCCCCCCAAATGTCATGGACAGTACAAATCCCCCAAATTGTCCCAAATGTCAGGGATGGTACTAAATCCCCCCCAAATGTCAGGACAGTACAAATGTCCCCAGGAATGTCAGGACGGTACTAATCCCCCCCAAATGTCGGTCCGTACAAAGTCAATACAAATGTCAGGACGGTACAAATCCCCCCAAATTTCAGGACTGTACAAATCCCCCATATGTCAGGACATGTACAAATCCCCCAAAATGTTGGATGTACTAAAATCCCCAAAAATGTCAGGATAGTTACAAAATCCCCCCAATTTTTGTCAGGACAGTAGTCAAAATCCCCCAAATGAGTCAGGACCAGTACAAAATCAAATGGTACAAATGTCAGTACAACAAATGTCAGGTACAACAATCCCCCCAAAAAAAATTTCAGGACTTGTAACAAATCCCCCCAAATGTCAGGACAGTACAAATCCCCCAAATGTCAGGACGGAATGTACAAATCCCCCCAAATATCAGGATAGTACAAATTCCCCCCAAATGTGTCAGGGACAGTACAAATCCCCCCCAAAAGTCAGGATAGATCCCCCCCAAACCATACCCCCCCCAAATGTCAGGATGTGTACAAATCCCTCAAATGTCAGGATAGTACAAATCCCCCCCCAAATGTCAGGATAGTACAAAATCCCCCCAAATGTCAGGACAGTACAAATCCCCCAATGTCCCAAATGTCAGGACAGTATAAATCCCCCCCAAATGTCAGGACGGGACAAATCCCCCCAAAATGTCAGGACGGTACCATAATCCCCCCAAATAATCAGGATGGTACAAATCCCCCCAAATGTCAGGATAGTACAAATCGCCCCCCAAAAGTCAGGATAGTACAAATCCCCCCAAATGTCATGACAGTACAAATCCCCCCACCCAATGGTTCAGGACAAGTACAGATATCCCCCAAATGTCAGGACAGTACAAATCATCCGCCCATTTCCCCCCCCTAAATTATCAGGACGGAACAAATTCCCCTCCCAAATGTAAGGATAGTACAAATCCAACCCAAATGTCAGGACAGTACAAATACCCCCCAAAAATTCAGGACAGTACAAATTCCCACCCATATGGTCTCAAATGTCAGGACAGTAACAAATCCACCCCAAATGTCAGGACATTACACAATCCCGCGCCAAATGTCAGGACAGGTACAAATCCCGCCAAATGTGACCATGATGGTACAAATACCCCCCAAATGTCATGAACGGTGACAATTCCCCGATCCCTCCCAAATGTCAGGATAAGAACAAATCCCGCCTAGAATGTGCAGGTGACATGTACTAATCCCGCTCCAAAAGTCAGGACGGGTACAAATCTCCCCAAATGTCAGGACATAACACAATCCCCCCAAAATGTCTCAGGACTAGAATACAAATACCCCCCAAATGTGATGACAGTACAAAAACCCCCCCAAAATGACTAGGATGGTACCCATCCCCCCCCCCCAAATGTCAGTACAGTACAAAACCCCCCAAATTTTCAGGATGGTACAAATCCCACCCAAATGTCATGATGGTACCATCCCCCCTCAAAATGTCCAGTAGACGGTACAAAATTCCCCCCACATGTCAGGACAGTTACAAATCCCCCCAAATGTCATGAACGGTACAATCCCCCCCAAATGTCAGGATGGTACAAATTCCCCCCAAATGTCAGGGACAGTACAAATCCCGCCCAAATGTCAGGATGGTACACAAATCCACCCAAATGACATGACGGTACAAATGCCCCCTCAAAATGTCCCAAATGTCCATGACAGTACAAATCCCCCCAACATGTCAGGACAGTACAAATCCCTACAAATGTTCAGGACTGTACAACTCCCCCCAAATGTTTCACCAGACTGTAACAAATACCCCTCTCAAATGTCCAGGTCATTTACAAATCCCCCCAAATGTCAGGATCGTAACAAATCCCCGCCAAATGTCAGGATAGGTAACAACATCCCCCCAAATGTCAGGACAGTCACAAATACCCCCAAAATGTCAGGACGGGTACCATAACCCCCGCAAATATCAGGATGGTAACAAATCCCCCCCAAATGTCATGAAAGTACAATCCCCCCCATAATGTCAGGATAGTAACAAAATCCCCCCAAATGTCAGGACAGTACAAAATCCCACCCAATATGTCCAGGACAGTAGAAAATCCCCCCCAAATGTCAGGACGTGACAAATCCCTCCCAAATGTCAGGGGACAGGTACCATCACCCCCAAATATATCATGATGGGTACACATACAATCCCCCAAATGTCAGCGAAAGTACAAATCCCTCCCCAAAAGATCATGGATAGGTACAAATCCCCCCAAATGTTCAAGACCGTAAAAATCCCCACCAAATTGTCAGGACATTATCAGATTATCCCCCAAAATGTAAGGACAGTACAAATTCATCCCCTCCCCTAAATGTCAGGACGGTACCATACCCCCCAAATATCAGGATGTACAAATCCCCCCAAATGTCAGGACAGTACAAATCCGCCCCCCAAATGTCAGGACGGTAACAAAATCCCCCCAAATGTCAGGACAGTACAAATCCCCCCAAATGTCAGGACAGTACAAATCCCCCCAATGTCAGGACATGTACAGGTTACCCCCCTTTTTGCAAAGTAGGACAATCCAAGGTATTTAGTAAGAGGCATGGCGATTTTTTTGAAGATGTAATTTGTTTGTTAATAATGGCGATATTTGCTTACATGGCCGTGTAAGTATGGGATAGAAAAAATGGTGCAATTCATATCAGGCCCTTCATGTCTAGTAGGGGTTTTTTAAGGTTGAACCCCCCCGTCTAAAATAAAAACAAAATTGTGGGTCCCCCAAAAATGCATACCAAAAAACGTTACCAAACATGCAGCATGAGACAGGCAATGAAAGGGGGGATCCCCTCCTCTGAACCATACCTGACCACATGCCCTAAACATGGAGGGGTACCTGGTCAAGGGGGGATATCCTGGCAAAGCACCCTTTCCCCATGTTGATGAGGACAAGGGCTTCTTCCCCACAACCTGGGCCTGGTGAGCTGTACATAGTACTCATTCACAAAGAAAACATGTACACAGGTATTGGACAAGTCCTTTACTCATCAACAGAAGTCCCATTGATGTACATTCATCATCGATCACATGGGGGGTCCCGCCATGTAGATCCACTTCAGTCGTGATGCCCAATGCCGGCCAACTGGGAAAAAGATGGAAACTATCTGCTTGCCGATCCACGTCTGGTCCTATCTATTCCCTCCCGCTGACTGACAAGGTGAAAGCCCAAATATACAATGGGGTCTCCCATATGACATCACTGAACAAATATGGAGGGCACATGTATTTGGTCAATGATGTCACGTGGCGTCCCCCAGACATGTTATTGTAATGGATTTTTGCATTTTTAATGTTTCTCTATTAAAATATTACTGAAATCGCTGCTTCCCAGCCACACCAAATGTTAGTATTTTTGTGCTTGCGGTCCATTTTAGCCGCCATGTTTTATGTATTAGTCAGGACAATTCCAGCCAATTTTGAAAACATTTTGATGCATTGAAATATGTTCCCCCCGGCAAATGCCCCGCCCCCGATCCCCCCATGCCCTTTATTGTGACACATCTCTTCTCTATTAGCCTTAAAAAATTGGCCAAAATTAACTCCAGATAAGGTGTCCCTGCCACAGTTGTGAAAAATTGGGGTTCCAGGAAATGTGGACACTCCCTTTCAAATATTATTTCTTTTGCAGACTTTTTATATTTTATATTGTAACATTTGTTTTGTCTATGCTTTTGTAGCGCTTACCCCAGCAGGAGCCGCTGGTGATGACGGGTCCTCTGTTCTGCCTACAAATCCTCAGAGCTGCTTGGTCCCCACTGACCTCACCCGGCTGTAGGTTGGAGAAGCCCCGTGTAAATCCCTTGCGTATAGTAAGCTGCCACTCTATGATCACTACACAGAGAGTAGGCCAAGCAACTAGGAGATATGTTAAGATGAATAGTAGTACAGCAATAGCTGAAAAAATATTTCATAAACTCAATGGTAACAAGCAAGCACCACAGGTTTTAACAGATGCTGTACTAGATTGACAGTGACCGTATAGGCACGCCCTATTTACCGTAGACAATGTTATACCACATTATAATGGCACTGTCAAGAGAACCAGAAGAGGCACCACAGAGGACAGATTGCACGGAAACCCAACGTTGCTTTTATTGGGGAGGTTTTTGGGGCACATGAACAACAGTTACCATATTTAGTCACACATATCCACACTCAAGAACACAGCAACACAGTTACAGTCCTCTGGAAGGGCTATATGGAACAACCAGGTGTAATGGGTAATCCATCAGGATTTTAATCCACATCTGGAGGGCTCCAGACAGAGAATGGTTAAAGTTCCTGGCGAGGTTCTCGGAGAACAAGGGGTTACGTCCAGGCAGGTTTCACGGAGGAGCATGGTGTTATGTCAAGGCAGGGGATAGAATCCCAGGCAGATTCAGGGGACAGCAGAAGATTCCTCCTCAGTGCAAGGGATTCCAGGCAGCAACAGACAGTCCAGGAGATGATGAAGGAGGACGGAGGATGGTCGGCATGAGAGAAGCTGTCCCTCCTCCACATGCCTTCCCTCACACACACACACATCCTACACCAACGCTGCCAGCGGTGAACACGGGGGGGGGGTTCGCTGCTCTCCCTTAAGTCTAGAGCTGGTAACCGGGATACTTCCCAGTCGGGTTTTACCATGGCAATGGGTCCCTTGTCTCCCAGGTATCCAGACCTGCCCAGGGAGGCCTAAGGGAATGTTGTTGCAATGAGGGGGTAAGGGAGGAGGGGACCTGCTTTGTGGGATTCCTTCAGCAGGAAGCCAGACGACCAAGCCAGGGGGGATGAAGGGCTGCTGAGGGCTGCTGCATGTTCGGGGACACGGAGGACTAGAAGTCCCAGCATGGGCGGGACAGAACGAGGTGAGGGGCTGCTGAGGGGTGGGGGGGTGGCAGCCAGCAAACCTGGAGGATGGGAAGGCGGGGGGAGGGCCGGCAGGGTCCAGGGAAGGACCAGCTCCATGACAGACACAAACAGGGTTACAAGTATTGGCATCAATGATATCAAGAAAATAAAGGTTCCTCATAGTGTACTCCATGAATACAGCCCCAACGGTGGGGTGGTCGGTCCGGGCATATGTTTGCTCCTGACACAGGCGGTGGTTACCCCCTGGAAGTGGCTATAAAGTATTAGGCGCCTAATTGTCAGTGCGGGCCAGGCTTTCCTTGGGGCCCTTCTATCAGTGGTGCACATGTAGCTGTTTTTTTTTTTTTTGTCCCTTTTAGAGTGTGCAGTAGATAACTAGTGGGTTGCTGAATAAAGAGCCGTCTCTATTGCTTTTAACTATGTCACAATGTTGGGATAAACACGGATGGTCAGCTCACCACTCCTGGTTCACACATATCCTACAGTCAGATCACTTGGCAGTCTGCAGTTTTCTCTGAAGGCACCTCAAGTCCCAGAAGCTCAGCTCTGGTGTCGGCACTAGCACCAGCAGAAGTCCTCTCCAGCCTTGGGTTCTGTCATGGCAGGAGACCTCTCAGCCTCTCGGTACATTGAAACCTTGCGGTGGGCACAGGACACCCCAGTATGGGTCTGCACTTCTCCAGGCCCCCGCACACAAGAAGCTCACAGTGGGCTCAGGCTCTTGGCAACTGTGGTGTGGGGGTTATATATGAGAATGTGTCAATGGAATGGAAGGATTTTTGAGGCACAACTCACACAAAATATATTATATTACCATTTCATATACTTTATTCCAGAAGAATCATGAAGTTATAAATTCATTGAGAACAAAAGCTCTTCACTCTCTGATAACCTCCATTTGTCATCATTAGTTGTACATAATGTATCCATTTCCTCGAACGTATGGTCATCTCCACCCTCCACACATTCATTTCTACAAACTCCTCCCATTTTTATTCTATGACTGAACTTCGACACTTTTCCTGGATTGGGATCCACTTCTTCAGGGAGAAGAATAATGGAGGATTGTTTAAGAATCAACACAACAAAATGTTCCAAAAATGAAGAAAACACAGAAATGTATAGATTGCTACATTTGTATACAACAATGTCAGAGTGCCCATGCTGTGGCTGCAGGTACCTGGAAACCACCAGGGGAGGCGCTACACCATGATAGGAAATTCCTATTGGGGGGACCAACACGGGGCCCGAGGCTAGCCCCGCCCTCTAAGATGATCCTTCTCTTCCATAGAAATGCTGGAAGGAGCCCCCTTCCATAGCTATCTTGTGTACACACGGGCAAGTACTAGAAAAGAGGAGAATTCTAAGATGAAAGCAGAGTAGATTCAGAACATCCATGTCCTCCATCTCTAAAGACCATTTCCAATATCTCATAGAATCCAACATCGTTTCTTCAAGACTTCCCCCCCCCACACCAATTCTCTCACATTCCCCCTACATGTACCAAGAGGAGATCTGGAGCCGCCATCATTGCTCTTGTTGTAACGTTTGTGGTGATACCTCACATGTGTGGTGGGAATGCCGTTTACATACGTAGGAGTGACCTACGTATGCCACGTGAGCATTGGAGACATCTGGGGTACATAAGACCCCAGAACTCTCCTCTACCCTGGAAAGGAGGTATAAACAAACATTGATCTCTGCTTTCCGGGACAAATTGTCAGTGTTCACATCTGCCGGAACATGAAGTGACGTCATTAATGTTGCTTCTGGCCTCCCAGGACCATAGAGATGACCTGGGGAACCATCCAGTCCACAGCCAGCTCTAATGGTATTCAGGCGGCACTGCCGGATTAGATACCGGGCCTCTCCACTATAACACAGGAAAAGGATGAGAGGCCCCAGTGGGTGATGGAGGGGGGCGTCCCCTCCAGCTGTCTATAAAAGCAATCCAGCAGCTAGAAGCTGCAGTCATCATCCCAGTACCTCCTACAGGCAGGAAGGGCTAAAGTCTAAACCATCAATGAGGTTGGATAGTGCACGGTACTGCAGAGTGTGAAGAGCCGGAGCAACCAATCAGAGGGGGGAGTAGCTGCAGGCAACACTGTGATGTCTATTACTGATCAGCATGTTCCCCGCTCTATCTCAACCCTCTTCATCTTCCCGTCTATTATACAGTTTACATATTAGCAGCCTGATGTAATTGACGGGCTCTCTGTAGAATATCGTCTTCTCTGGTGGGGAAGATGAGGACGGGGTGAGAGCGGAGGAACACGCTGCACAGCAACATTCCATCTCAGTGCTTGCTTCCACTGACACCGACACCCACACTGCTTGCCTCCAATTTCTAGGAAGGAGATGTTCTATTACAGTCCATGCCAAGACAAAGACCTTGATTTCTAGTTGTGGGGATGGTGTGGGGAAGGAGGAGAACCCCGGCTGGCTTTTTCCTACTAATAAGGGGTGTCACGGAGCTTGGTCCTTCCTTCCCCATCCACCAGGTTTGCTGGCTGCCACCTCCCACCCCTCAGCAGCCCCTTGCTCTTCTGTCCCATCCATGCTGGACTTCTAGTCCTCCTTTTCCCTGACACAGGCAGCCCTCAGCAGCCCACTCACCCCCCTGGCTTGCAGTCGGACCCCTCCTGCTGAAGGAATCCACAAACAGGACCCCTCCTCCCCCTTCCCCTCATGCACCAAATTCCTGAGCTCTCTGGACATGATCCCGTTGCCATGGTAACCCAACAGGAAGTATCCGGTTACCATGCTCAATACTTAAGAGAGAACAGGAAACCTCCCCCCCCCCTCGTTGTGTTCTCCTGGCTGGGTGTGTGAGGGAAGGCTGTGCTGAGTGCCAGCTTCTCTCATCCCGACCATCCCCCGTCCCTCCTCCTCATCTCCCCTTGACTGTCTGTGCAGCTGGATCCTCTCCTGTGTGGGGTGCAACTCCCTGCTGTCTAGATATCTTCCCTACCTGGACTTACCTCTTGAACTTGACCTTTTCCCCGTCTGGATTGAACTCTTTGTTGCCCGTGAGCCAAATGGACTTAACCCTTCCCTGCCTGGAGCTGCCTGTGTGGACTGTAACCCTCTGTGCCCAGCTCCCCGCATCCAGTTAAGTGGACTAACCCCGTGCTGCCCAAAGGACTGAACCCTGTGGATTACCCATAACCCCTGTTGTTCCATATTGCCTTCCAGAGGAACTGTACTGTGTTGCTGTGTCCTGGTGTGGATCCTCGGTGGACTAAAGGAACTGTTGTTTGTGCCCAAAAAACCTCCCCAATAAAATCACGTTGGGTTCCGTGTAATCTGTCTCTGTGTGCTCTCTGGTTCTCTTGACAACTGGTTGGCAGCGGGTGGGACGATGAGCACTCGAGATGGCAGATGAAGAGTCTGCATACAATGGAAGCGGTGGCCCTGGAATATCAACACTGGACCGGTAACCAGCTTACTAAGGAAAAGGCCAGAAATTTGGGCCTCAACCACAAAGGAACTTAACAAGATTTCAGCTGGTCCGGATGCTGGAGGAAGCCAGCCAACAGCAACGGGAAGATGCGGGCACAGACAGGAGCCAATGGGGCCCTGAGAAGAGATGGACCAGAGCTTCAAGGCACAAGTGGCAAAGAGCCCTTGGGTCATCTGGTATGAGGATAGAGATGGCCATTCTAGGGGAGGATGCCACCCTAGAGAGAAAGCTTGCGGCCATGGAAAAGGCTCAAAAGAGACAAACAGAGTGGGAAACTGCAAAGAACCAAGCAGTTGCTCCTGTGGTGGTCCCTGTGGCACGGGTGGCCCAGAGAATATCCAGGAAGGACTTTAAGCCCCTACCAAGAGCACTCTCCGGACATGTGGAATGGGTTCTTCCAGGACTTTGAATACCAGTGCGAACTACTGGAGGTCCCACCCATAGACTGGATCTCACCATGTGGTGGGGCTGCTTGACGGAGGGGCTGCTGAAGCCTACCGAAATTGATGGACCCCTTCAAGAGATGGAACTATGAGGAGATAAAAAGGCCATACTGAACTACTGACGCGGTCTCTCATCTGAGTACATATCGGGCCCAGTTCTGTACTACACCCCCGCCTCCCAGAGGCCTCCTTCAAAAAGGTTTGCACTCACAAGTTGTCGGTAGCCTGCCGCCGGTGGCATGGAAGGGGAGAAGGCATAAACCTACCCTGAACAGATCATCCAGGCCATCCTGAAGGAACAATTCCTTTTCAAGTGCCCCACCGAGCTCCGACAGTGGGTGCGTGAGCGGAAACCTGCCACCATGGAAGAAGCTGCAGCCTTAGCGGATTATGGCTCTCCTCATTAACTCCCGCAATGGAAGAAGCCTGCGGCCGAGATGCACCCCAATGTGGCCAGGATGCCCCCATCCTACACCGGTGCCCTACACGCTTCCCCATCACCGGATGGACCCACAAACAGTGCCATTGCTTACGACCCTTACTCCCACCTCGTTCAGCCACCTCACAAACGGGGCCCCAGAACCAGCCTTAGATCAGGCGGTGCTTTGGCTGTGAAAAGATTGGTCACTACCAGGCCAGCTGCCCCGCCAAAAAACAGACTCTCGGGCCTAGCTTGCCCGGGGTCAGTGAATTCTGTGGATCTATACCAAGCTCCCGAGAACTTGCCACCACCCCCTTTAGACTAGGATCTTGCTCCTGCAGACAAGGACAACCACTCCCCCCCAGGAGTCTTTTGGCCTACAGCCAGTGGGGGCCCCTACCCAGAGCATCCAAGGAAAGCACTTGCAAGAGGTCACTGTGCATGGACAAAAAGGCGGTGGGCTTCCGAGACTCAGGGGCCTTTCCTCACCATTGTGACCCCCCGAGTGGTGCACCCTGACACTGTAAAGCCTGGCCCTGGGATAGTGATTCAACTAGCAGGGGGCACCAAATGCTTCATCCACTCTTGCTATTGTCGATCTGGACTATGGGCTTGGGGCCTAAACGCTGCAACGTGGGTGTAAATGGGAGGACTGCCTTGCAGATGTGCTTCTTGGGAATGATGTGGGCGATCTTCAATGCCACTTTGTGGGAGCCGTCACACGAAGTCCAGGCCTGCCGGGAAACTGCTGAGAGAGGAAGAAGGAGTCACCCCATCATGTGGACGGACCTCCGCTGCCGCGGTGAGTGACTCAACACTGATTGCTGACAAATACTGGGGTGACATGGGACTGGGACAAGTTTCAAGGGGACTTAGCCACCGACCCTACTCTAACAGGTTTCTGGGCCCGAGCAGGGCTGACTGGTCCGGGGACCGGCGAAAGGATAGTGCAGGAAAATGGGTTGCTGTACCGAGTGGTGGACCGACGCCGAAGGGGGGCCCCAGACCGTGGCTAAAACAGCTGATCGTTCCCCAACAATTCCGGACCCAACTGCTACACCTTGCTCACGATATTCCCATGGCTGGGCATCAGGGAAAGCTACGGACCGAAAGGAGGTTGGCCCAGGCCTTCTATTGGCCCTGGGATGTCCCAATCGGTAGCTCGCTACTGCCGTACCTGCGATACCTGTCAGCAGCATGGAAGAACAGGTGGCCTGCGGGCCCCCCTACAGCCCTTAACCCATTATTGAGGAGCCATTTCAACGAGTAGCTATTGAAATTCTGGGCCCCTTAGCTCGCCCCAGCAAATCTGGAAAGCGGTACACTCCTGACCATCGTGGGCTATGCTACTCGTTATCCAGAAGCAGTCGCCCTGTTCAGCATCACATCTCCCAAAAGTTGCAGAAGCCATGGTTACTGTTTTCACCCGAGTGGGCTTCCCTGCTGAAATCCTGTCAGATCAGGGGACTCAGTTCATGTCAGGCCCTTGTTCAGTCCCTCTGGCAGACCTGTGGAGTGCGGGCCATCCAGCGGGTCACAAGCTGGGTTCAGTAACTCACGGGCAGCGCGGTGCAGAGGGTCAGGCAGAGAATGGTCAGTGTCACAAGCCAGGGATCAAACAGGAGAATTCAGCAGAGGTCAGGATCAGGCAGGGTCAGCAACAAGTCAGACAGAAACAGGAACAGGAATACAGGGATACAAGATACAGGGCCCATGGAAAAACACACACCACGGCCCAGACTGTGAGTCTGGCCATTCTTTAAATACAACCCCCGCTATCAGCTTCAGGTGTTTGGCTGATTGCAGGGTGAGATCTCTGATTGCTGAGAGCACCCGCCTGGCCAGCCCTGGTACTGCAGCCCACAAGGCAAGTGAGTCCCACCATTATTGGCAAGTCCATTCCTGACACCCACCTCCTCTTTGCCTACCGGGAGGGTGCACCAGGAATCTACCGATTTTCCCCCTTTGAACTGCTGTATGGGCGGAAAATCCGCGTGTCCGGCCCCCTGACCCTACTGAAGGAATACTGGGAGGGTCAACTACCAGACACCGGGGTCCCTGTGGTGCCCTATGTCTTGGAGAACTGCGTGAAAAGATGGACAACTAGCCGGCCAAAGCAGCTGACCATCTCCAAGCATCCCAGGTCCGGCAAAAGACATGGTATGACCGCAAGGCACGCACCCGGGAGTTTACTGAAAACCAACAGGTCCTCATGATTGTCCCAAATCCCCAGAACAAATTGCAAACCACATGGGAGGGACCCTTCCGTGCATTAGGAAAGTGAATGACACTAACTATATTCTTGGACTAGATGATCGGGGGAGACGGCAGAAGACGGTACATGTCAATATGATCAAGGAGTACCATGACCGATTAACCCCCTTGTTATGGCCGTCTGCCCAATACCCTCTGAGGAGGAGGAAGAGGCCGTACCGGACCGCCTGGAAGCAGCACGCCATCCCAACTGATGTGCACCAGGTGCCCCTGAGTTCTGCAGCTGAACCCAGGGCAACAGAGGGCCATGAATGCTGTCCTGGGCCAGCGCAGTTCCGCTTTTTTTCGGCACGGCCTGGAAAAACCACTATCACCACCACTCACCATGATGGAGACCCTGGGAACCCGGCCCCTCCAACAAGCCCCATAATCGTGTCCGAGAAGCCGTTAAGAACACTATGAGACAGGAACTGAATGAAATGCTGGATCTGGAATTATTCAGCCCTCCCAGAGCCTCTGGGCCTCTCCTGTTGTTCTTGTCCCCAAGAAAGATGATAGCATCTGCTTTTGTGTTGACTACCGACGCCTCATTGACCACACGGTTAGTGACGCCTACCCGATGCCTCGTATCGATGACCTACTGGACCGGCTGGCTGGAGCCCGCTAATGTCACTACTCTGGACTTGAGCAAGGGCTACTGGCAAATCCCCTTATCTTCAGAGGGTCGGGAGCGCTCTGCCTTCATCACCCCCCTTCGGCCTGTTCAAGTTTTCTCAACATGCCTTTTGGCATGAAGAATGCTCCTGCCACCTTCCAGCGCACAGTGGACCAGCTGCTGCGGGGCTGTCATGACTTTTGCCTGCGCCTACCTGGATGACATCGCCATCTTTAGTGAAACATGGGGAAGACCACCTCCAGCATGTGGGCTTTGTCCTGGACCGAATTGCAGGGGCCAACCTCATGATTTGACCAGACAAGTGCCAGATGGGGATGGCGGAGGTGCAATATTAGGACACCGGGTGGGAGGGGGTAAACTGCGCCCAGAACCTGCTACAATAGAAGATATTAAGGAATGGCCCACCCCCCAGACCAAGAAACAGGTTATGGCGTTTCTGGATACTGATAACTAATACCGCAAATTTGTTCCCCATTTCAGCACGATTGCGAAGCCCCTCACAGATCTCAACCAAGAAGACCATGCCCCGGATGGTACCCCTGGACCTCGGCCTGCCAGACTGCATTTGATCGGCATGAAGGAGGCCCTTTCCCATGACCCCGTCCTAGCAGGAGCGCCCAACTACCAGCGAAGGTTTCTCGTACAGACAGATGCCTCCACTTATGGGCTGGGGGGCCGTCTTCAGCCAGGTAAATGAGGAGGGGGAGGAGCACCCGTGCCTTCCTTAGCAGGAAACTTATTAGACCGGGAGGTGTGGCCTATGCCACCATAGAGAAAGGAGTGCCTGGCCATAGTGTGGGCATTGAAGAAACTTCAACCCTATTTGTATGGCCGGGAGTTCACCATCCTCACGGACCATAACCCCCTCACCTGGCTGAATCGGGTCTCCGGGGATAATGGCCCGCCTCTTACGATGGAGCCTGGCCTTACAACCCTACAATTTCACCATCCAATACCGACGGGGAAGCCAGCACCACAATGCAGATGGGCTGTCCCGTCAGCAAGACCCCCAGTAAATGCAGTCCACAAGTGCCTCTACGGGAACCTGTTGAGGTTCCCCTGGCGGCACTTGTAGAATGGAGGGGGGAGGAGTTGTCACGGAGCTGGTCCTACCTTCCCCATCCTCCAGGTTTGCCGGCTGCCACCTCCCACCCCTCAGCAGTGGACCCCCCTCACCCTTCTGTCCCATCCATGCTGCTGGACTTCTAGTCCTCTTTGTCCCTGACACAGGCAGCCCTCAGCAGCCCCTTACCCCCCTGGCTTGCAGCCTGGCCTCCTGCTGAAGGAATCCACAAACAGTCCATCTCCTTCTCCCTTCCCCCTCATGCACAAATTCCTGGGCTCTCTGGACAGGTCTGGAAACCTGAGAGACAGGACCCGTTGCCATGGTAACCCGATAGGACGTATCAGGTTATCGGCTCTATACTTAAGAGAGAGCAAGGAAACCACCCCCCCCCCCCCCTCGTTGTGTTCTCCTGGTTGGGTGTGTGTGAGGGAAGGCTGTGCTGAGTGCCAGCTTCTCTCATCCGACCATCCCCCATCCTCCTCCTCATCTCCCGGTACTGTCTGTGCTGCTGGATCCTCTCCTGTGTGGGGTGAACTCCCTGCTGCCTGGATATCTTCCGTGCCTGGACTTACCTCTTGTTCCCTGTGAGCCTGCGGGCTGGACCTTTTTTCCCCGTCTGGATTGAACTCTTTGTTGCCCGTGAGCCAAACGGACTTAAACCCTTCCCGGAGCTGCCTGTGTGGACTGTAACCCTCTGTGCCCCGGCTCCCCACATCCAGTAAGTGGACTAACCCCGTGCTGCCCAAAGGACTGAACCCTGTGGATTACCATACCCCTGTTGTTCCATATTGCCTTCCGGAGAACTGTACTGTGTTGCTGTGTCTGGTGTGGATCTGTGGACTAAAGGAACTGTTGTCTGTGCCCCAAAAACCTCCCCAATAAAAGCACGTTGGGTTCTGTGCAATCTGCCTCTGTGTGCTCTCTGGTTCTCTTGACAAGGGGGCTCTGGGACAAGGAGTGAGGGCCAATCTGTACCAGGGACACAGACATATTAAGATCTGACAGGGGGCCCAAACCTTCCCCTTCTTTACTCCCCTAAACATAGGATTCTTATTTCACTCTGTGTTTCTGTTGGAGAGTTCCCCTCATTTCCTGTCTAGGGAAATGTTGTCACCCCGGGACAGGAAGTGAGAAGAAATCTCTCTAACGGAGCCCCAGATAGGAAACACCTGACCGGGGATCTAATCCTGACCCACTCGGCCTACAAACTAAGTCTTCAGTCCCACTGGATCCCACTTTGTAATCTGGAAACGTCACTTGAAGTCGCTCGATTCCAAAGTCGGATGTCAGTGCGACTTCAGGGGCGACTTGCAGGACATCTGTGTGACTTTATATACAAGTCTATGCAAGTCGCAGCTGAACTTGGAAAAAGTAGTGCAGGAAGAACTTTCATAATCGGTGCGACTCGGATGGAGGGGGATTTGTACCGGTATGACCGCTTCCATTGTGGGCAATAGAGTGCGACTTGTCATGTGATGAGAAACTATCAACTCACATGACGAGTCGCACCGCTGTGACCGGGGACTAAGAAACACAGTCTGGGCTCTCTGGTACATCAGATTATTTCTTTCAGTAGTAAATCTGTAGAAGACGTCTTCATATATTTTCCTCTCAGATTGTTACATTTATTTCCATCTCTTTGTAGTATAGATTGTATGGAGGAGGGGGAGGGGCAGGAAAGAGACGGATTAGCTGAGAGAAGGGGGAGGGGCAAGAAAGATGGGGAGGAGCAGAGAGAAGAGGGAGAGGTGACCTCATCGTATCCCATCACAGTGACCGCAGCCCACCTCTATGTCTGATCATGGTGCCAATCCACACAGAGGGGCCACATGGGAGAGGGGCAGGAAGCTGTGGGAGGGGCAGAGAGGATAGGTGACCCCATCCTATCCCATCACAGTGACCGAACCCCACCCTCTATGTCTGATCATGGTACCACCTCATACAGAGGGCCACATGCGGGAGGGACAAGGAGGAGGGGGAGGGGCAGAGAGGAGAGGTTACTCCATCCTTTCCCATCACAGTGACCACACCCACCCTCTATGTCTGATCATGGTGCCACCCACACAGAGGGACCACATGGGGGAGGGGCAGGGAGGAGGGGGAGGGGCAGGAAGAGATGGCTGGTGTCACACACTGTGATAACTCCGCTTAAGTATTATGTCAGATTGTCGATGGATGGATGGATGGATGGATCGATCGCATCTTCATCATCATCATCACTGACCATTAGGACCAATGTTATTGTGACTCCAGTAATTGGACAGAAATTCTACCCAATCACAGAGATCGGTGACAGAGGAGAAATCTCACATTTATTTATAGTACAAAATCTTGCAGGAAGCCCCGCCCACCTCTATATACTATTGGAGGAATGTGAAATGAATTCCAATTCTTCATCTGACATCACCAGACTGTGGGCGGAGTTCTCACATCTCCCCCCCCCCTCCCCCACCTATCTTTATACAACCTTTCCATACACCTACCCCAGCATGGAGGGGCTCAGTGAAGGTGGTGGTGAAGGTGTGGAGGTGTTTGGATCGGGTCACACACAGATCATAGAAGGAGATCCGCCCGGGCCTCATAATCCAGATATATCCTGACTCTGTTTACTGGAGGGATTGGGGGGTAATGGGATCCGATGTCTGTCATGTATCACTGAATACCGATCACCAGACCTGACCAAACCCCAGGACTTGTTATTCCTTCCAATCCATGACCCCTCTCCTCTCCGGTCTATACTGGGGTAACACATCCCGACTCTCCATTCATCTGACCCCCCGACATCCACTTCCCAGTAACGTCTCCCTGAGGAGAACCTCTGACTGCTCATCACCTGAGGATATTGAAATCTCTCTGGTGTTTCTGGGTGATTCTGGTCTATATCTGACCTGGACACAGTTTTCCCGTCATCTGATATCTGTAGATTGTTACCAGCTGTGTTTCCATCCAGTAATATGTCTGCAGCCCCCTGTATATAGAAGGATACATTTCCCCCTGTTATTATATCAGATAAACCTGTGTGTAAGACCCCCGCCACACCCAGCCCCCCTCCATCATGGAGGAGTTCCTCATGTCTCTCTCTGTCCCTCATCATCTCCATCCTCAGTATCACACAAGTCACCTGTGTCTGATTCCTGTAGGACAGTCAGTGGATCCGTCATGTTACACATCTCCTCAATGTCACGCATCTTCCTGGACAGCTCCTCCTTCTTTATTTCCAGATCCCGGATGAAGATGGAGACCCGCTCTGCCCTCCCGGAGATGTCCCTCAGGACTCTCTTCTCCAGGTCTTCCAGACGTCTCCTGAGGTCTATAAACAGGGCAGTGACTCTCTCGGTGTCACCAGCTTCTTCTTCTTCTACTTTCCTCTTGTGTTCCTGCAGACTCTGGACTCTTTCCTCCATCTCCTCTCTCTTTGTCAGAAGTTTCTGCAGAACGTTCCTCAGTGTCTCCTTCTTCTTCTCAGAAGCCCCATCCAGTGACACCATCTTATGTCCTGTGTGTTCTCCAATCACATAACAAGACACACAGATACAGGTCTCATCCTCAGTGCAGTAATACTCCAGGATCTTCTTATGGACGGAGCATTTCCTGCTCTCCATGGACAAGGTGGGGTCAGATAAGAATGTGTTCTGGGGACTTTTTGTGGACTTTCAGGTGTTTATCACACAGATTAACCTCACAGAGTAGACAGGATCTAACAGCAGGTACAGGAGAGTCCACACAGTAAGTACAGAAGACCCCGGAGTCCTCCTGACCTGGCTGAGCAGACAGGAAATTCTCCGCTATGTTACGTAGTTTCATGTTCTTCTCCAGTGGAGGACGACCCGGAAACTTCTGTCTGCATTCAGGACAGGAATATCCTCCAGACCCTCCATGTACGTCAATCACACGACCAATACAGACCAGGCAGAAGCAGTGTCCACATTTCAGGGTCACAGGATCGGTATAAATGTTCAGACAGAGGGAACATTCCAGCTCAGCTCTCGGCGCAGAAGACGCCATCGCTGACAGCAGAAGAGAAACAAAACTGAAAGTCTCTGACAATGGAGAGGAATGCAGTGGGGGAGGGGTGACACCCTCCTACACAGGGTGAGGCTGGGCTGGGTGAGTATTATAGGACACGGAGATCAGAGTACAGAAGGAAGAAGCTTTTATTTGCAGTAGTCATGATAATCGCACCTCCCAACATTGCAGGACAGAGAACGAGGGAAAGACGGATGTGGGGGAGACGTGAGGAGCACGTGGTGCTCGACTGAAGTGGCAGTGCAGAAGGGGAAGGAAATTGTGAGGAACTTGGTTCCTCTATGAAACTAACAAACAGAATCCTCCTGCGCTCTTATGTAATATGACACAATAATGAGAAAAATAAAATTTAAATTAAAATAAAATAAGAGCTGCTAACATCTAATCCTACACCAATAGGCCTCAAGAGCATAAAAATGAATAAAACTGACGTAGCGCTTATATACACCCAGATAATGATATGATGACCCCACAGTGAAACACATACATCACAGGTCTAATGTGGACCATCATCCCCATGCGGATAAGGGGATACCCCCTGGTTTAGATCACTCACTCTACAGTCAGGTCCATAAATATTGGGACATGGATACAATTCTAACATTTTTGGCTCTATACACCACAATGGATTTGAAATGAAACGAACAAAATGTGCTTTAACTGCAGACTGTCAGCTTTAATTTGAGGGTATTTACATCCAAATCAGGTGAACGGTGTAGGGATGACAACAGTTTGCATATGTGCCTCCCACTTGTTAAGGGACCAAAAGTAATGGGACAATTGGCTTCTCAGCTGTTCCATGGCCAGGTGTGTGTTATTCCCTCATTATCCCAATTACAATGAGCAGATAAAAGGTCCAGAGTTCATTCCAAGTGTGCTATTTGCATTTGGAATCTGTTGCTGTAAACTCTCAAGATGAGACCCAAAGAGCTGTCACTATCAGTGAAGCCATCATTAGGCTGAAAACACAAAACAAACCCATCAGAGAGATAGCAAAAACATTAGGCGTGGCCAAAACAACTGTTTGGAACATTCTTAAAAAGAAGGAACGCACCGAAGAGCTCAGCAACACCAAAAGACCCGGAAGACCACGGAAAACAACTGTGGTGGATGAGCGAAGAATTCTTTCCCTGGTGAAGAAAACACCCTTCACAACAGTTGGCCAGATCAAGAACATTCTCCAGGAGGTAGGTGTATGTGTGTCAAAGTCAACAATCAAGAGAAGACTTCACTAGAGTGAATACAGAGGGTTCACCACAAGATGGAAACCATTGGTGAGCCTCAAAAACAGGAAGGCCAGATTAGAGTTTGCCAAACGACATGTAAAAAAGCCTTCACAGTTCTGGAACAACATCCTATGGACAGATGAGACCGACATCAACTTGTACCAGAGTGATGGGAAGAGAAGAGTATGGAGAAGGAACTGCTCATGATCCGTCGCATACCACATCATCAGTGATCATGGTGGTGGTAGTGTCATGGCGTGGGCATGTATGGCTGCCAATGGAACTGCTTCTCTTGTATTTATTGATGATGTGACGGCTGACAGAAGCAGCCGGATGAATTGTGAAGTGTTTCGGGAATATTATCGGCTCATATTCAGCCAAATGCTTCACAACTCATTGGACGCTTCACAGTGCAGATGGACAATGACCCAAAGCAGACTGTAAAAGCAACCAAAGAAGTGGAATGTTCTGCAATGGCCAAGTCCATCACCTGACCTGAATCCGATTGAGCATTTCACTTGCTGAAGACAAAACTGAAGGGAAAATGCCCCAAGAACAAGCAGGAACTGAAGACAGTTGCAGTAGAGGCCTGGCAGAGCATCACCAGGGATGAAACCCAGCGTCTGGT